GCTCGTTCGGGCTAAGCCCGGCCGGGCCCCGTGAGGGGAGGCCTGGCCACCAGGCGCTTGCATTCGAGCCCCAACCCCGGGCCTGGCTACAGGGTGGGGCCCCGGCTGCGCCATGCCGGGCGACGTCACGGTCCTTGATCTTAATCTATTCATAAAGGGCTCATCCACAAACTTCTTATTATATTTGGGTGGCCTGTAAATAACACCACACAGTACTAGATCAGACCGACCCACTTCGAATAAAGTCAGTTCAAAACTAGAGAATGAGGGAAATGGTAAGGTGCACTGCTTACAAAAGAAATTGTTCTTAAAAACAAACGCTGACCCACCTGCATGCCCCGACACCCGCGGCAAAGGTTCATTAAAAGTACTGAACTCACCAGCGTCTGTCAAAAAAAGAAAATCCATATGAAACATTTAAACTTGCTAACTACTTGATGAAAACCCGGGAGAAGAGGAAACAAGCTCTGTATCAAGACGATTTGTAGATAATTAGTATTTTCCCTTTTTTTGATTCTTGCACTTTACATGTTAGCAGAAGATGTATCTTTTGTAAAAAATAATATCTGTAATCCCATGCAGGATGGGCCAGATGTCTGGCATGACACAGAAATAAAATTAAACTAACCCACCAAAAGCAAATGTCAAATGCAGCACATTTATGGATGCAAAAATAAAGGGTTTAATTAAATATTACTCTGCTCGCTTCTAATCTATTCTACCATCAGGTATCATGATGCTGTAGATGAAGACTTTACCAGTCAGATCAACGTGGCGCGTCCAGACTTCAGTAGCCATTTGGTCTTGTACTGTTATAGTCATTTCTTCTGTGTTCATAGGCAGGTGGATCTCAAATGTTGGGTGGTAATTTGGCCCAAACTGAGGTTTGAATTTTTCTTTCTGAAAGCACATAGTCCCATTAAAGTACAGGTAACCAACAGTTTGTTTCAGCAGTGGCAAGATCTTTATTTGAAATACTCACCTCAGGCTGTATTTGACATGCTGGTGGACACTTGACAACATAATCTTGGCCTTTGATGAGGTCACATATAGGAGGGACCTCGATGTACTTAGACTCTATGTGCTTTTTTTTTACCTGAAGAGACAAGAGAACACTAAAAGATTTGTTTTCAGACTGATAAATCATTGTTTTCACTGGCTGATTCTCCCTTTATAACACTGTACTTCTCTCCAGTCTGGTTTCATTATACAGTCTGTGGGGGATTCTGGCTTCCTTCTTACTAGGATGTGGTTGTTTCAATCACAGGTGGTCTCTCAAATCATGTAAATGATAGTTTTCCAAACACAGTCACACATATATAAATCTCTATGGCAATCATGAGCTCTGGGTAGTGAGCAAAACATGAGACCCAAGAGGCTGAAATGATTTTCCTTTGCAGGTGTCTGAGGCAGGGTAAGGAGCTCAGACATACAGAGGAATCTCAGCATCGAGCTGCTGTTTCTTTGCATCACAGTAGTCAGCTGAAGTGGTTCTAGCATCTCTTAAAGATGCCTCCTGGATGCCAGTATAAAATTATGTATACCTCATTTTGGGAACAACTCAGTGCAGACCTGAACCTGGATATGCATCAGGAAAGGGAAAGTGACTAGATTCAGTTCCCATGAACTTCTTTAAGATCAAGACCATTAAGACCAGTTTGGACAAGTGGAGCTGTAACATTTCAGGAACCTTTACCTCTTCCAGGGAGATGTTGCTCGGCAGGAGCAACATGTTAAGCTTTTGCTTCTGTCTTCTTTGGTTTGGTGGTTTGAGGAACAGCAAAATTTGGCAAGAAACTGGGTTTGTGTTGTTCCAAAACCTGTTGACAACATCCCAGACCAGACCAAAGGCAGAGAGATTAGGGATTTTGACGATCACATGAGTGTATGTGATCTCCAGTGTCTTGAGAATGTCCATGCCGTCATCAGTGATGTGGACGACAGACAGCTGGTCTTCAGAGGGCAGAGCTGTGAAAACACAGAACCATCCAGCATCTGTTTCATGATTTGATTTCTAGGACATTTAGTCTGTTTCTTGACAAATGAAGCAGGTGTCGGATAATTAATCAAAAACAACTGTCAATGCTTGTGGATGGGAAGCTGGTGAGAGACTGTGTCCTTGGATACAGTCTCTGTGTGGCGATTCAGAGTGAGATGTAGAAAGGACAGATTAGAGATTAAAATGAAGATGACTCCTCTTATAGAACCAAACAACAGGACAATCAAATGTGGACTATTAAATATCGGATCTCTCGTCCAAATCTCTGTTAGTGAATGATAAGTGAACATCACATTGACTTATTGTGTCTGACTGAAACGTGGTTACAGCAGGAAGAATATGTCAGTCTAAATGAATCCACCCCACCTGGTCACAGTAACGGTCACATCCCTGGAAGCTCAGGATGAGGTGGAGGTGTGTCAGCAATCTTTGACTCAAGCCTATTAATCAACTCTAGACCTAAACATAGTTATAACTCATATGAAAGTCTCACTCTGAGTCTCACACACCCAAAGTAGAAAACTGAAAAGCCTGTTCTGTTTGTTATTGTATACCGTCTACCTGCTCCTTATTCAGAGTTTTTAAGTGAATTCTCAGACTTTCTGTCTGATTTAGTTCTTAGTACAGATAAAATAATCATAGTAGGCGACTTTAATATTCATGTAGATGCTGACAATGACAGCCTCAACAATGCATTCTGTTCATTATTAGACTCAACTGGCTTTTGTCAAACTGTAAATAAACCCACTCACTGTTTTAATCACATACTTGATCTTGTTCTGACGCATGGCATTGAACAACCCCAGGTTTCTTTTCAGTACTATAGCCAGGCTGACAAAGAGCCACAGTGCTGTTGAGCTTAACATTCCCTTAGATCTCAGCAGCAATGACTTCATGAGCTTCTTTACAAATAAAATCACAACTATTAGAGAAAAAAATGAATCAAATCCTTCCCACAGCTCTCACAGATATGCCATCAAATACAATGGCTTTAAAAACATCTGTAAGACCTCAGTTATACTTATACTAAGTTACTTTAGATGACATAGCTTTGACCTTCTTTCACCTGTGCAATATTGCAAAAATGAGGAGCGATGCTGAAAAACTGGTCCATGCATTTGTTACTTCCAGGCTGGACTACTGTAACTCTTTACTATCAGGATGTCCCAATAATTCCCTAAAAAGCCTCCAGTTAATCCAAAATGCTGCAGCCAGAGTACTGACAGGAACTAGCAAGAGAGATCATATCTCTCCCATATTAGCTTCTCTCCACTGCCTCCCTGTAAAATTCAGAATAGAATTTAAAATCCTTCTCCTAACATACAAAGCCCTTAATAACAAGGCTCCATTTATCATCTCAACAGAGCACTTGGCTCTCAGAGTGCAGGTTTACTTGTGGTTCCTAGAGTCCACAGAAGCAGAATGGGAGGCAGAGCCTTTAGCTATAAAGCTCCTCTCCTATGGAACCAACTCCCAGTCTCAGTTCAGGAGGCGGACACCCTCTCTACCTTTAAGATTAGACTTAAGACTTTCCTTTTTGATAAAGCTTTTAGACAGGGCTCAATCAGGTGACCCTTCACCTTCCCTTAGTTCTGCTGCTATAGGCCTAGGCTGCTGGGGGGCCCCATGCTCTGAGTTTCTCCCCTCTCCTCTCCTCTCTCTCCATCCATCTATATGCCACTACTACCCCTCACTAACTGTGTCTCCTCTCTCCCATAGTGTGTCCTCTCTCTCTCCCTGTACCTTTCTGCAGGTAACCCTGGCTCTGGAGCTTTACAGTCACCGGCCACATCAACCTGTCCAGGTTGCTCGGTTTCACCTGCCCTCTCTCCTCCACACACCTGCCAGCTATCCTCATTGCCACCACCTGTTGTCACTCCTGCAATCACCAGATCTCCTATATTTACCTTGCCTTCCTACCTGCCCACTGCCAGTTTGTTCTCATGAATTGGGGTTGGGTGCAATGCAAGTCAGGCAGCAGGCTAGGTTGGGTACCTGGGGGTGTTGATCCCTGGCTGCATAGCCTACAGAGTTTTATCACTACTGTAATGTCGCCACTTACAAAAGCAATAATCTGCTTACCATCCCTTGTTTCACAGTGTGGGAGGTGGAGCTGACAGACAGCATCCTCAAGACACTTGATACTGTACAGTGGCCCTGCAGCCATCTTGCCAGCTGGTTGGAGAAGGCTCTCATCCCATTGGATAGTTTCATACAGGAGCTCCGCCTCCCGAGTCATAAGAAATGTCAGTCCTGTCCAAGTACACTGGAACACACCTGGACCAGGACACCTGAACCTGTAAGACAGAATAACTGACTGACCACAACTGGTCTAAACAAATGAAGAATGCAGAAATCAGGTGGGAGTCAAAATTCAAAACACATAAGCTGTTTTTAGGCATGCACTGACAACCTTAAATCCTCTAGACATTACCCAGAGCTGTATGTGAGAATGCAAACTTTACTGTCAGCTCCCTACAGTCTGCATAAAGTCCAAGTGAGTCTGTGTGAGAAAACAGCAGCGTATCGTCCAGAGTATTCACACTGAGCTAGTGGGCCTGTTGATGACCTTTTATTATATGACTGGTGTGACACCAGAAGAATGCGAGCATCAGATGGTGAAGAAGAATGAGTCTTCACCACCAGAAGACACCAACAGAATTATTTTACACATGACAAGATTTGGAAACTTCTCTCATTAAGAGCCAGTGCCAGATTTGTCAGACAAATTTAAGGAGCAGGAAGAGATAGTTGTTAAGGAACAAATGACAAACTGGCTGGGCTACTTCCAGTAGGTGAGAACGTGTCTGGCATGGACTTTCTCCTGTTGTGTGAAAGGGAAACTGGATGGTGCACAGTCCTGATTCTGTGGACATTGTCCAGAATTCACATTTGAAAATGGCTCTACAGTATCAGCTGCTGCTTTGGCTGTTTCAGTGAAGACAGACTTTCAGTCAGGTGGTTTGGTACAGCGTTAGCAGTCCTGCAGTTACTGCACCACAACACTGTGGTGGAGAAGAATTGGATGTATTGTCTGTGCAGATTCTCAGTCATCCAGGTCATAGTAAACCGAAATAACCTTAGAAAAAATCAACTGGACTTGGATTTCTAGCTCGAAGACGTTTCACCTCTCATCCAAGAGGCTTCATCAGTTCTGACTGACTGGTGTTGAGCCAGAGATATTTATCCCCCTCGGTGTGGTTTCAGTCCTTTGAAGGCCAACAATGTCCCTTAACGACTGAGTCGTTACAGCCCAGTATCAGTGAGAGTCGTTACCTGTCTTTGGATGTATTCTGGATACTTCTGAGTTGGAGGAGAGTTTTAGACAGATGACACACATATGATTTTACTTTCTATCAGGTCTGGGAACACTTCATGATCATAAACAATCTAGAAGACCTAGAGGGCGTGGCTGAGACAGAGGTCTGCTACCACCACAAATTGGTAGTGAATAAGTGTTGGGAAAACAGAACGGCATACCAACAACACTTTCACCAAAGTAAGACCCACTATAAATAACAGGCCTGTGCCTTTTTAAGGAATTAACAAGGATCAAATGTCTGGTGAGTGCAGCAGTAACAAAAACATGCCCGGCATAACGACAGCCTTCAGACTGTTCATGAGTTACAGACAAGTGATTTTATTGTGCGATTACCTGTATGTAACTTGTGCAGATTCAGTTTGCAGTTCAGGTGTGAAGCTTGTTGGAGGATCTTTTTCAGCAGCACACTGGACACTCACTGAAAATATTTAGAAAGAAGGATAATAATAATCACCTTTATTTGGCCAAGTATGTTACACACAAGGAATTTGTTTTCAGTACAGAACCGAGGCAGCCATCTGCGGCGCCAACTCACACCAATGAATGGGAACAGTTTGAGTTACTGATTTATTTTGCATGTGCCTGGTGACAAACCTGACATTGTTACACCCACAGCTGAATGTGTTTTTCTGGATTCAGCCACAGATCCTCCAGTTCTACTGTCTGCCTCCAGGTTCTCTTCAGTCCTTTAATGGATACTGTGGCAGGTTTGATCAGGACGTGAGAGGTGCCAGTCAGACAAGAATATCGATGGGTTCATTACTGGAGTCTTGCCCAACCATACTAAAGTGTGATTCATTTCACAGCTCAGTCCAGTTGACACAGATCCGTTTCAATGATTCTGACGACACAGACTCAGTTCAAGTCAGTCCATTTTGATCAACACAGAAGACAGTCAGCTCAAACTCTGCTCCAGGTTTTAATGAAATCTGATCATAGAGGATCACTTTTTGATTCCTGGTGTGTTTTGAGGGGCTCCCCGTTCCTCGACAAAAAGGTCAAACTGGCGTCCTCCCCCACTGACCAACAACTGGCTGCGCTCACACATACATGACTGAACTTTGGACAGGTGGGCAGTAACTCTGGAGGAGGTCTCTACAGACACCCAGCTCACCAGCCCTTCCCTTTCCCAGTTCATCATGTTGTCAGTGTAGGTCACTGGTGTTCCACCTGTACCTGTTCCTGATTTCCTGTTGCTGATACCTGGATCTCACCTACACATTCCATTTATGACCTGCTGGATTGTTGGCTTTTTGTAGCTTCTCTGCCATAGTGTGTCCTCTCTCTCTCCCTGTACCTTTCAGCAGGTGGCCCTGGGTCCGATGCTTTACATTTCTGATGAGCCGTCACCAGCTACATTAATCTGCTCAGTGTTTGTTTGTTTGTTGTGTCCTGATGATTTTCTTTTCTCTCTCCTCTATCCACTCACCCCAACCAGCTGAGGCAGAACGGCTGCCCACCAAGAGCCGGGGTCTGTTGGAGGTTTCTAACATTAAAGGTGCAGTGTGAAACAAACTTTTTTTAGCAGAAACGGGCTATAATATGAAGATTATGTTTTCATTCAGGTGTAATCACCAGAAAAAAAATCATTGTTTTTCTTTAGCTTACAATGAGCATTTTATGTCTACGTACATAGGAG